CCCAAAAGCCGGACATGTCCGGGAAAATCCGGATGTATGGTAACCCTAGAGCCCTGAGGCTGCTCTGATTTAAGCTAGAGACTGGCCTGGGGATGGGAGGGTAAAGTTGGTGTATAATCATCTTTGTCCCTCTCCCTTCCCTCTGTTGTGCCAACTTGAAGTGGGACCAGGACCAGGACTTACGGAGTGAGATTTTCATAAATGCCTAGGGGCCAGATTTTAAAAGGTATTGAGGTGCCTAAACATGTAGGTAGGTGCCTAGAGGGATTTTCCAAAGGTAGGCACCTCACTGTTTTAGGTGCTTAGGAAAAAATCCCATGAGTTGTCTACCTGCACCTTTAGGTATTTAAATACCTTTGTAAATTTGACCGTGGGGTGAAATTTTCTAAAGTGCTTAAGAAAATGAGAAGCCCAATTCTCATTGACTTTCAGTAGAAGCTGGGTGCCTAATATTCTTAGGTGCTTTTGAAAACCCCACATTAACTGACTTAAGGACACATTTTTAAAAGTTATTTAGGTTCCTAGTGGAATTTTGAAAAGTGCCTACGCAGAGAATGCCCATGGAACCTAGGAGTCAAGGCACTTTTGAAAATCCCAATGAGTGCCCATCTACATCTTAGGGCTGTCCATTAATTGATACATTAGGGTGGATAAGTGGGTCCTTAATTTTGCATGTTTGTTTCAGCGTTATAAGAGGAGGTTGGATCTTGAAAAATCACCAACAAATGTGTTATGGAATTTATGGAAATCCCTTTAACTGTCCCAATACCTTTACAATTCTGACCCTTAAGACCTTGTAGCAGGGCAGTTACCCCGCTCCAGTAGAAAAAGGCTAGGCTGGTTGGGGAAGCAGCCACAGTTGGGGTCACGCGCCAATCAGGCCACACCTGGCCCTGTTATAAGGGCTCAGGGAGGAAATGGGTCAGGTCTCTCTCTAGCTGTGGAGAGAGAAGGATCTAGCTGTCTGGGAAAAGGGTACCTGGAGCACAGCAGTGATGAGGAAGGGCAAGAGGAGCTGGGGAGCTCCAGCCTGGCAATTTCCCAGGCTGATGCCTTGATAAAGGCCTGTACGGGTACTGGGGCTGGGAGGTGCAGCCCAGGGTTAGGCAGAGGCAGCTGGTCCAGCCTCCTTGCCAATGATGAGTGACCATGACAGACTGCAGTTTGCCCCAGTGAGAGGGGGCTGGATGATGACTGGCAGTAGCCACCTAGGCAAGGTGAGTGTAGAGGGTTGAGGTTCCCCTGGGAGGGGAGACCCAGAATGTGGTAAAGGGCACCGGGGGTGGGAGGGACATGGGGGCCTGAGGCAGGTGAGTCACTGGCCACCAGGAGGTTCTCTGAGTGCTGGATGAGCTAATTCCCAACCGACCAGCAGGAGGTGCTGTGCTTATGAGTCTTCACTTCACTACAGACCTATTTTCAAAAATGACTTAAGCATTTAGAAGTAGGGCTAAGTGAATAACTGATTTTTCAATACACTAGCATTTCGAAAACAGCAAAAATTTGTTTGGGGTCAAACTGAAAATGAATTTTTTTGAAATTTTGGTGACTCAAGAAGTACAACAAAAATTCTTTTAGGGTCAAACAAACTTTTATTGTGACAAAATTGAAATGTGTTGTTTTATTTTTGATCATTTAAAAATATTAAGGATTTTTATAACATTAAAGAAAATGTTAAACCAAAAGGTCTTCTGAACCAAGAAACTGAAACATTTAATTCTGAAAATGTCGAAATGAAACATTTCAAATTTCTCAGATTTTTTTTTTTAACTGAAACACTTTGGCAAAATAATACAAATTTGCAAAAGTTTTGGTGTCACCAGAGCTGCATTTTTCACTGATTTTTTTTTTTTTTTGCATTAGAAGTCTAAGTTTCATTGAGAAATCAATGGGAGTTGGGTGCCTAAGGGCACGTCTTCACTACCTGCCGAATCGGCGGGTAGCAATCGATCTATTGGGGATCGACTTATCGCGTCTAGTGAAGACGCGATAAAATCGATCCCCGATGGCTCTTCCGTCGACTCTGGAAATCCACCCTGGCAAGCGGCGGAAGCGGAGTCGACGGCGGCGCGGCAGTGGTCGACTCGCCGCCGTCCTCACAGCCAGGTAAGTCGACCTAAAATATGCCACTTCAGCTACGCTATTCACGTAGCTGAAGTTGCGTATCTTAGGTCGACCCCCCCCCCCCCGTAGTGTAGACCTAGCCTTAGTCACAGGTTCTTATGAAAATTTTACCCCATGTGTGTAGCAGTTGTTTTTTCATACAATTAATATTAACAGGAAATAGGATCCAGTTTGACATGGGTTTTATTGATTCAAAACTACTGTACATTGAAACATGACAAAATAAAAATTAAACATGGAGGCCCTTTGCTGTCTATTTATTTTT